ATCAAATTATCAGTTATTATTAATATACTGATAATATCAGGTCGTTAAGTAGACGCGTGTAGAAATGGGGAACAATTATAACTTTGTTTTAACGGTGTGATTCGTATGCATACACAATATTTACAGCATCTAATAATAATAATAATAATAATAATTCTTGAAAATGTATGATATGTAATATATAAATATAAGATAATCTCTTTTTGATAGACCGATTGACGTACAAAATACCGTCATCATTAATTTCGCGAAAGTAATTATTAAAGATGATTAAACGATTTCAAGGATGCATTTTCGAGACGCTAGGATAATCGATCAACCCTTTCGGGCCTTTTAATAAAAAACGTCCGCGACAAGATATTTCCCCACGCCTTTGTAGCTCGAACGAGTTTCTGCGGCCGCCCGACGCACTCGGAGTCTGTAATTATATCTTTTTATTGGAGTTGTGTTACCAGTCTCGAGAATGCGCACGTATGCAATTCCAGAGAGTGCGAAAGGAAGTCCATTATCTTCCATTATGCTGTGCAAACAAGAATTATTGACGCCTGGCGTGCGAAAAGTGCACGCATTATGTACATTATTGAAAAAAATGGTAATTTACGATGTAACGATTAATATGATGAAACACTCAGGAAGAAATTTAATCTGCTACTAAATTGCATTTGGTCATTACACGGTGGAAATCATATAACTGTATTCTAGCACTAAATTATACGTTTATTTCTAAAATAAAAGAACCTTGGTGAAAAAAAAAAAATTTTCATACTTCGTAATATTTTTGAGAATTTTTTATATCATATATTTATAAAGATTTCTGCAAAAATATCTTTTGAATTTCTCGAAATTTTATCAATTTTCTTCGGAAATGTAATGAGATTCTAAAATATGTAGACTTTCTTGATGGTACATATTTCTGAAAAATGATCCAATTTGTGTAATAAATATTGTACAAAAAAATCTGAGAAATTTTCAAAAAAGTTATAAAAATATGCAAGAGTTCTGAAAAATTCGAACGTTTATTTATTCAGAAATTATAAAAAATTATAAAAAACATTCTAAGAAAAATTTTTGCCAGAGCAGCCTGGTTCATCGAGGATAAATAAAACTCAGCAAAAAATTTAATCTCCTACTAAATCATTGCAACCATTACATAATAGAAATCGTGTACTTGTGTTCTTGCACCAAATATATACGCATCTTTGTAATAAAATATAATTGCAATAGCAATAATGTAAAATAAAGCACTTTTTTTTAGTGAAAATAAAAAAAGAATATCTTATTAAAGGTGCTATATTGATAAAGATATAATTTTATCTTTTAAAAATACGGGATATAAAAAGAAATACCTACGAAATATATATATAAATAAATCCTAAGAGAATGTGGCACGCGATAAAGAAAGAAGATCGATGAGAGAGACCTCGAAGGAAAAGCGAAAAAAGCTTATTCCAGGCATTGTTCACACGCATGGCCTTTTCAAGGCTACATTATTCCATTCGCACGTCTCTACGTTTTCCGTAGAGAATATATGACGTGGCAGATGCAGTCATTGCGCTCTGGCACGAGACATGCCGCAGACATATAATCACATACTTAATAATTGACTAATTACGGACGCCTAGTGTTAACGCCCGGGATAATTGCGGTGTGATTGACAGAAGGACTTACTCGATCATGCAATCCCTGTCAGTTACATGTAGAACAGTAAACACCAACACATCAGTGTTATAATTTCACAACGTTACTTACTTCCTATCTCTGAACATATGTTATATTATATATTACATTTTATATATTACATATTTATTTGTTGAGTGTGAAATTATAATATTAATGTTACCATTAGTAGTTATTATTATTGGATATTCGAAAAAATACGCCTGGGATGTTATTGGAGCATTATCGATGTTAATCTTTTTATTAAAGATAAAAAAAATTAAGACAATCGTAAAACTTTTCCATTTTTTTTAAAGTTTGCGCTCGAAACTCATTGTCGGATTGTTTTAAAAATATCTAGAAAACGCGAGGATGGCCTTGGAGAAAAATCACTTACGAGATATTAGGAAACTCCGAAAATAGTACGCTGTTTGCAATATTTGAAGATCTTTAGCGAAAGCATGTAATGTATAAAAATAGAATATCTTTAATTCCAGATTTTAGTTTTTATGTGCAGTATGCAAATGTGCATACGAGAAATTAAAATAATTATTATATAATAATAGAAGATATTATAGAAATAGAAATATCTTTAATTCCAGATTTTAATTTTTATGCAAATGTGTATAAAAAATAAAAATAATTATAATAAAGTTTTCATAGTATGTCAAGGATAATTTAATCTTTTTTTCTTTTAAACCAAACGTCTCGTTCCATTAAATATAAAGGCGATAATGGGATGCTTTGATCGCGATTGATAAAAAGTTTTTTGTGCGCTTTACCGTTAATCTTTGCTGTGTAACGACACGGAAATAGACCAAAGACTAGCATCGAATGACAGATAAGTAAGACAGACAAGTCGCGCAAATGAGAAAATACACAGATGAGATACGTGCAACTGCACATAAGATTTCCCGAGAAAACATGAATAACTTTCTATTGAAATTTATCGTACGTCATCGATCTCTCTTGCATCATCCATTGAATAGCGTTTATATAGAAATTCAATTCCGATTAAAAGCACTCTAAGATGCGCGTGTATATGTTTATTACGTCAACGATAAGTGATTTTTTTTTACTCTAGCGATCTATTTCGATAAAATTAAAAAACATACTCGTGTGACTACATATTAATCAAAAGTTTATTATCGCGCTTCCCGCGATACTAGAATTAATTAAATATTATCATTCATTGCATTAAAATGTACACACGCGTATTATTAGAAATACAAAAAAAATGATTTTGCTGAAGTATTTAAAAATTTAACTAGATATAAATGTAAAAGTAATTTTACTGGACCATCAAAATAATTATGTAGGACACTCAAGTTGGTTGCAAAAATGTCAATATGTTGCAAATATTTTGCAATATATTGCTCATCATGCTTGAGTTTCCTACATAAATATTTTAATGGCCCAAAAATATTATTTTTATATCTATCTATATCTAATTAAATTTTTAGATACTTCAACAAAACCATTCCATGAAATAGCGACAGCAATATGTAAATAACTTGCAATTTTTGGAAGTTACTTTTTGCATCTTAGAAAATAAGAAACTCAACAATTGGATTTCTCTTTTTACTTCGGCTTCTGAAAATAAACATAAGATATATGTATTTGTGATTATCTTATTTCTTGAGATAGTTGCATATAGAAAAACATAAGCTGTAAATAAATCAATATTTTTTTGCTATTGCTTACGTTATTGCTTTACTCAATTGTGGTTGGTCGTTTTGCTTAAGGAGATACGATCTATATAGTACATATTAATATTTAATATTTATACTTTAAACAAACTATATACATATGAAGTTGTGTTTATAATATCCTATTTTCATTAAACATTTTTATGGTTTATTAATTTATTTATTTTTATTGTATTTATAAACTAAAATGTTAAAAATAATACCAAAAATCTAAGTCTAAGACAAAAATCTGTGATCTAGAATTGTCTGTAATTTTCCGTAAAAATCAAATAATTTTTTATTTTAAAATCAATCGTATCCCCTTAACTGTTGTATTTGTTTTTTATATGACATTAGATTAAGATTTCTGAGATCATCTAGCTAGAAGTTTTAAGATTTGATCTTCTATGTAAAGATAGTTGTGAAAAAAATTGCCAATCGAAGTCAAGTTTCATGCTCCAACTTTGCTCCGAATCGCGACAAACCTTTGCTCTTCGATAGCGAGACATGTTTATCATCGAAATTTTATACAATATTGATGCATCGATATGACTCTGTCCAATAAATTTGGAGCTATAACTATCAAGGAGATAATTTATTTCCGATTGTAATAACTCCGACATAATAAATTTCCCGAAAAACTACTGAAGCAAACGTTATCTATGAGAATACATGCCTAGGAAAAAATATATAAAGAATATTATTTTTTTGCATATGTTTGCGTTACATTACACATATTGTCCGCGTTCATTGATATCGCCATATGCGTTTCGAGTAACAAGTAACGAGAACACGAAGACGGCTATAATGAAGCGATTTCACTCTGCTTCAATTTGCAAAAATATCACATATGAAGACACTGCACATATCGAGTTCTTGCAAATCGTATGTAAAGATTATTAAGTTATTAGTAAGTAATGAAGTAATGCTTAATAGTAAATAATGCTTTGCCATGGGAACTTCCCGAAAACAGGTCTCGTGACGTGCAACAGATGTGTACTCAAGTAATACATAAAATCATGTACCATCATCATGTCTTTCTGTGTCATTTAAAATCAAAAATTTAATAAAGACAAATTATTTATTTATCGCGATAAAATTAAAAGATTACCAAGTTATTAATTAACTTTTTGTGTGTGGCTCTATTTATAATATTTATCACTTAAAAATAAAGAATTAAATTTAAAGAATTTATGAATTAAAAGATGACAAATTATTTATTTCTTATTTAAAAATGAAGAACTGAATTTAAAGAATTTAGAAATGACAAATAAAGTCATGATGATCGTAATAAATACACTTCCGTTAATAAAAAAAAAAACTTTCTGTAATGAAAAAAACTTTCGTTTATAAAATTAGCAAGCGTGAATGACCTACAAGATAAGACTACGCCCACGAATTGCGTATACACGAGATCCTCGCAGGCGCAAGGACCTCGTACCGACCTGAAGAGCTCACGTACGCCTAGCTGGCTCCATAATCACCCAGATTCGTCGTCGCAGAACCTGTGATAGAAGAAAGCGAAGCACAACAGATGAGACGAGAGTCAAAGAGATCTGACGAAAAAATAGTCTTCGAATAAGAAAAATCATTTCTTCATTTCTTCAACTCGGTTTTTATGCTGAAAACCATGGAGAAGGGTCGTTTTATACTTACTTAAACACTTTGGAGCGGCACATGACCTCGTAATACGTAGACAGCTTCTTCAGTATCTGACTGTAGTGATTAGTGCTGGCGACCAGGACATCATCGGCCAGGTCGGGTAGGAAGAGCGCGTTCTCCGCTTGCTCTCGTTGACGCTGGAGCTTCTCCTTCTCTATCATCTCCTCATAGAGCTTGATGTACTTCTCCTTGACACGGGACTTGCTGCATTGCTTCGAATCGGTGATCGCAATCGGCTCGCACGTCTCGTTACCAATCAACGTACGTACGCACATATTAGTGTTTCGTTGTTGATTTATCTGGATACAATTGGACGATAATCAAGCTCTCGACTATCTCTCGACTCTCGACTGCTTCTGATCACTTCTGGTCCACGATGGAAGACGGCTGATCTTCGAATGGGACCAGGACAGTTCTCTTTATATCCTCGTGCGTCCGAAGATTTCTATGAACTGAATGTGTCAGCTTCGTCGATGATAGACGACTATCCTCCGGTGAGGGTGGCCAATCACGTTGACTCGTGTAGTCGTGTGTCGCGAATCGTGCGACGTGGTGCGCGGCAGAGGGAGAATTAAAGCAAAGGAGAAAAATTCAACACCCGCTCTTTCTCTCTCTTTCGTTCGTCGTGAGAGTGCGCTGGAGTACGCTATATCTTGATATCGCTTCATTTTTATATCCCCTCCCGATACGACTGGCTTGACGAGACGAGATATGCGAAAGGGTATAAAGCGCGAGATTGCATTCGAAAACCGAGTGCCTCCGTGTATCGTTTTGTCCTTGTTGTTCACCCAATATTAAACAAAGATAAGATGATAAGAGGGCACTTGGGTAACGTTCCCAAGCAAGTTCCCTTTCGCGGAAGAGAAGGAAGTCTGAACGGGTCTCGCTATAGTTTTGCTTGAAGTCTCGTTTCCCGAAATAATATAATATTTCGAAACTGCCCGATAAAAATTGTTCTCATATTTTTTGAATTGAAACACAGAAAATGATAAGAAAGTCTGCATCTTTTCTTAGAATTTTTCATATGTGTGTGAATGAAAATATACTTTAAACCTTTTCAGATTTCATAAAATTTTATTAGAAATTATGAAATGAAATCTTAGAATATTTCAGAATTTACTATATATGTATATGTATAATTTCTAAGTATTTCGACTCTATAAAAAATTTGAGAAATTTAAAAAGCTGATAAAAGTCTCAATTTGTATACTTCTTATACATCAAGTATAGGATTTCTGAGCGTTTTCTTCTTACAAGAAGCATCCATTTAATGGCGGGACCGCGTATTTCTCCTCGCGCATTTTAACTTTACTCTTGATTTATCTTTTCCTAATTCTTAGAATGGGAAATGAACATTAAATGGATTTGGCGATTTAAAAGAAAATAAAAATAGTTAGGGAATAGAGTAGAAAATATTTGTATGTAGCAGATGGATTTATATATAACAGGAATAACAGGTGATAATACTTAAACAAATGATTAGATCTCAGATATAAGTCAATCATGTTTAATTCAAAGATTAAACATCACTTTTCTCCCTTCCTTTCAGAGTTCTTTTATATACAAAATTTTTTTTTAATACATCTGATATATGTGTAGATATTATCAGAATTCTATATATCAAGAACTTTGAATATATATAGTATACAAATTGGAAAATAAGAAATGCTTTTGAAAAATGATAGTATATATTAAACAAATTTCCATATATTGTAACAATGACTTTGTTCAAAATATACATATTATAGATTTTATAGTACTTATGTCCTACAAAATTGTTCACATAGCAACGGCTGCTTCCTAAATCTTAGTCACATACGCATTTCATTTTCGTTGCCTATTACCTCACGTATTATATCAAGTTTATATGAGAAAACAAATATTTATCTTTTTTTTATCAAAGCTCTCAAATGTAACTAATACTTAGATATATTTAATAATTCAAAAAACTGAATAGTTTTAATCTTTTCTATAATAATTAATTGTAACTAAATTACTTATTTCATTATAATTATAACATACGTACGTAAATGAAAGAAGAGAGAATTATAAGAGAAAAAATAATATAAATATTTATATATAATTTTTTAAGTTCAAGATCTGGAAATAAGTAATATATGGCCATTTAAGTTTACATTGTGTACTTCTGTCGGAATTTCGTTTCATTTATAGTATCCGAATTCGATAGAGTGCATTTTTTTTAATGATATGTAAACTTATATATCTCGTATTCAAAAAAATTTAAAAAACTTCAGCTTGAATCTCTATTTCATCATGATTAAACATGTACTGAAATTTCATGTACACATCATCTTTTACTAATGTCTTATTTATTCAATTGCAAAAAAATATCTCAATCAATATATATATATATATCGAAATCACATCGATTTTAAAGGAAGTTGAAATAGATTCGACAATATCAAACAACTTACAGTTAAAAATATCTTCAAAAAATAACTACTAGCTTTAAAATTAATAAAATAAATTCACTTAAATAAACAAGTAACATATTCTAAAATATATTCCAACATAAATCTGAAATTAAATATATCCATTCTACTTTATGTTTACCATATCTTTCACAAATATGCTAGCGTAAGATTTAGGAATCTTTGTAGTCTTTTTTAATTAGATTAATGACATATGAAAGTTATCAACAAGATGAAAGTGTGTGCCCGCAGGTTTAAAAAGCCAACACCTGCGATGGATTTGTGCAGTCGCCTATTGTCATTCTATGCATTGCCATTTCTGTAATGCCATGGTAATGAACAAAAGCAGCTGCAATTACTAATACATGGAAGATTTGATGACTCTGAAACTATAAAGTTAAGATGTTAAAATTTTAATGTACGATATCGTTAAAATAATATGAACTCGAAGCACAATAAATCAATAGTTTTAATAATGCTTACCCAAATATCGAATTTTCCTGGGAAAAAACGTTCAGGTACCCTTAAAGCATAAAATAACGCGCCTAATATGTACAAACATCCCATTAATATTAACCATCCGAGGGATGCTTGGCTAATCGCCTTGAACCAACCTTCGGCGACAGCGTAATGTACAGCTGGTATTACCTAAATATACAACAATGGAGTTAAAATATTATTAGATATATAATTAAAACATGGAATTAAAACATAGGATATAGATATAGAATTAAAACATAAATTTTGAAATCAAACAATAAATAATTAAAAAAAAAACAACTTACCCCGCTAAGTCCAAAACCCATAAAAACTCCAGCTCTAAGTGGACGATAGTTTGGTTCACCAAATCGCTCCCACAATGAAACTACAATACTGGTTATACCAAGAACAACCACCACAGATAAATAAATTAGCTTAGGTTGATAGTCGCAATAAAATCCATAATAAAGCCATGGTACAAAACTACCCATAATAAGCATAGCTATTCCACAATAATCTAACTTTGAAAACAGCTTTCCCACACATTCGCTGTGGCAATGAACTGTATGAAAGGCAAATGACATTCCTAGGCAAATTATAGCACCAGCAAAGAAGGTACCAAATACCAATTTTTCCTCCAATTGAATTTCTATAGGAGGTTGCGTTAGAAAAAATATAGCTATACCAATAAAGGCAACACAGCCTGTAAAGAATAAAATATTTTTATGAACAAAATTGATAACCAAAATTCACAGAATATACTTAAAAGAATATGCTGTGTATACGGTCTTTTTTAAAAAGTGCACATTGATAGTACATTTAGTGTTATTTAATACTACACTGATAATAAAAAGCAGTGTACCTAGTAAATGTGTCCAGATATTGCCAGTTTCTGTATGAATTCGAAAAATGCTTTTAAAGCATGCATAAAATGAAGGTAATGGCGGTCTGTGACCAGCATGCAAGAAATCATTATCTTGCAACCATCTTGGTAGATTCCTAAAGTGACACTGTTTCCATGATGCCTCCCATACCTATAAATAACATCTCTAGTTTCTTTAAACTTGTAATTTGCTGATTAATAGTGTCAAATTATAATGTAGATTCATTCTAATAAAGATTAATTCGCTATTAATATTAAAGTTAGCTGTCTATAGCTGTTTACTATTATCTCTGTCTGACAAAAAGATATTTTCGTTACATACGCAACGATATTATAAATATTTGGATATTCTTTTACCTTTCGAACAAATTCCTCGGCCTGCTCCGCTGCATTATGTGCTAGTGCACCTAGATCGATTTCATCACTCAGTACTCCCGCCTTTAATACTTCAGTCATCTGTAAAATAATATATTATACATATAATATATTAATTATAAAGTTAAACATTATTTATATAATATAATATTACATAACTCATATAAATAATCTAAAAGTAATTTTGTTGGACCATCAAAATAATTATGAAGAAAATTTAACCCTCAATCGACAATGTATCTAGCTAAATACTTATACATACTTATAAATACATTTATATACTTGTAGATATTTCAGCAAAATTTTTAAAGTTCTTCATGTATAAATTATTTTAAGACAAAAAGAAACAATATACCTCACAATCCAGAAGATGATCATCTTCTGGCGTCGATGGTAATGGACACCCGACTCCATCTTCCTCTTCTGCCAGACAACTTGCGTCATCATCCTCTAATAATTCTTTTACTTCGTATAAACCTGGTATCTCACTATTTAACAATACACGTTCGCTCCATGGGATACGATGTCGCATTCCTCCTAAATCTACCGATAAATTTTCTTCTTTTTCTTTGTCTTCCAAAATGACATCTTCGTATTGCGACATGATTCAGAATAAATATGATTGACTGCGAATCTGCAAATTGTTCATTGTTTTGTAAGAAAAAAAAGATAAGTTTTCAAAGATAAGAGCTTTTGTTGCAAAATTTTATATTCACAAATCTCAATGTAAAATTGAAGAAAAAAATCTTATCATGTGCTTTCCATTTGATAAAACAAGAATTATCCTGCTTTATCACTCATTGAATATTAATAAGGATAGAACGATATTTATGTTGACTTGTGTTATCTATTCTTGTGCTATCTAACGCATCCATAAGTAGATATTTTTTTTATACCACCCACACAATATACATTCTTTGGGTTTGAAATGAAATAAGCACATGTTTGATAATTGATAAAAGCGAAAAGGAAAATTGTAATGTAATCTAATGCTGTTCAGTGCAGCAATAAAGAACAAATCTTGTCTTTTATCATGAACTTACAACATGAATTTGATTCACACACGTACAACTTGTTTCTTTTAATATAAATATATACTTGAGAGAAAACAGCAAAGATATAATTCTGACGATATCAAATGGCACTTTAAGATGATAAAAATATTGAAAAGAATTAATTAATTAATTATACTGTCCAAGATTAATTGTTTAAATGAATCTCGTTTTCACAGCACTCCAGGTGGAGAATGAGTTGGAGACATCGATCCTCGCGTTTTGTTTGGTGAAAATTATAACACCCACCGTTAATTTAAATATGATTTTCACTGGAGGTTCCGTCCTGACTATGTAAACATGTGACTTATTACATAAGACATAATAAATACAGTGCGTCGTAGGTCGCACCGACTGAACTTTAACCTCGTCGGAAGGTTATATCCTTTTTTTCTTTCCTTTCTTTACAGCCTGTTGCAATTTCCTGCTTCTTTTCTCTTTTTTCCGTCTAACGATCACGCGTTTCGAGTCGCGCGAACGAACTTATCGTCGTCTCGCGGGAGAAACGAAAGTGTCGTGAAAGCGCGCAACAGGCATGAAATTTGGCATTCGGTAAACGATATGGGAACAATGGGATGTCACACGATGATGTGCGTGTTAAATACGATCGTTGGGCTTCCAGAATTACATACCAGCCGCACGACGATACTTCCACGGTATTCACATTTACGTGGACATGCTTCTGAAATTTTTTTAGGCTCTTTGTATTGAGATATTACTTGGAAAGTTCACGTTCCCTTTACACATTTGCCTCAAGTAGTCATATGTATATCTAACAATAAAGCCCGTGTCGGACAGATTGAAGTGACGAATTGACGATTGACCAACACTGACGGACACTGATGGAAGATCTAGGATCAGAATTCGACCAATCAAATAACCTCAAGCTTTAATTTGTTTTGATGATTGAATTCGCATCGTGCAACTCACGAGCTTCGATAATCCAACACAGGCTTAATGGTATCCGCACGTGGCTGCAAGTGACATCGAGCTACTCTCTGCTCCGAAAGAGAAAGGAAATGTTGACAGGCTTGCTCTCTTCTTCTCTGTGTTCCAAATTTACTACCAACATTGAAAATGCGAGTTTACATTACGTGCACTATAGATTTTCAGTACAAACGGTCAATTTTGAAACATAAGACCTGTTCTTTTAGACTGAATTTTTGCACCAGTTCATCTTTCTTTCTTTTCTCTCTAGGAGGAAAGAAGAGGAAGAAAGATGAACTGGTGCAAAAGATTAGTCAAAAAGAACTGGCCTATAGTCTCTTTATCCCTAGATTAACGGAATATAAATGAGGAATTGAGAAGCGAGGAATTACTTTTTCGGCCCATAATATTTATGAAAGAAAAGGACAATCTTTGACTTTCAGAGGACAATGGCTAATATTCATAAGAGTCAACCCTAGTTAGTTAACACAATAACAATAATAATAACAATATAATAATAATCAAATACAGCCGATTGTAGTCAATTATAGCTATTACAGTCAATTGTTATATTTAAGATCGTTTTAATAAGTATAAGATGTCGCAAATCAATCAAACCATACCATATATTAATATCTTACTTAGACATTACTGAAGATACTAGCTAATATATAAAGATGTTTTAATTATTGCAAATTCTTTATAAGAGATTTTAATTAGTGAATTTGGTTACTCGCAATTCGCATTACTGTACATATATTCAAAAATAAAAAATATAAATATATATTTGAATGAAATATAAATATTGGGTCATCTAAAAAACCGCGGTTACTTTTTAGATGACCCAATATTTCACACTGTACTACTCTAAAGGCTACTATTCATGAAAGTTGTTTAATAATAAGGATTCGCCATGTTGATGTACATATATATTCGTTCCGTGACGTTATCAGGTTTATTTACCTGTGACCGGGAATTATGGTGTTCAGTTATAAATAAACACTGATATTTTAAATATTTTGATCACTGTCAAAAATATATAAGTATGGCAGAAAGCATCGTTAAACATTCTACTGACAACTTGTCAGAGCTAGAAGAAAAACAAAGGATAATCGATGGAAATCCTTTTTGTTACTTAAAAATTAATGATACAAAGGAACTAAAATTGGTTGAATCTAGAAGAAAGTGTGATTTATGTCAAAAGTCACGGAAATTTTTCTGTTACACCTGTTACCATCCTGTTCTTTCATGCAAATATTATCCACGAGTGAAGGTATATACTGATCGCCACATGAATAAAACTGAATTTTTATATTAATGAACGTTAATTTAATCCTTCTGTCATGATATGGGTAGATATTTTCGAATTTTAAACAGTTAAAATTTTTATTTATTATTGTTTATATTTTTTGTTATAATGTCTTAAAAATACCTTGAACAACAATTTTGCACAGACTTTATCTCATTTTCGCTTTTATGTTCTTAACAAGAGTCCTGTGAAACACAGTAATGAAAAATTATGTATTGACAGCCCAAGCAGAATATAAATCATTATGACATCAGAATGAAATAAAAAAGGCTCTAAAATGATTAATGAAAATCTTCTCAATCAGTAACGATTCATTTTGACATTATCATGACTTGTTTTGCTTGAGAGAAGAATTAAATGTATTCTGTACCATTGTTTCACAGTTTTATAATTACTTTTTTTAGTTGCCAATTAAAATCGACATCATTAAGCATCCTCGTGAAATACCTGGCAAGAGCACAGCTATTCATGCTGCGATAATTGCACCGATGGATGTAAAAATCTATACATATCCAGATTTTCCAGAAATATCAAATAAAGAGGAAGTAAGAAAAATAATGATAATCTACTTTCAAGCCTTTCAATTCTTAATTAATTCTTAACTCGATGGATGTTACTTTCAGACTGTTTTAGTTTTTCCTGGCAAAGATAGTACAAAGAATATAAGTGTTAAGGATCTTTTTATAAGAAAAGAAGGAAAAGATGATGCTTCAGGGGAAAGATCAGAGACTGATCTTTTATGGCCCATAAAAAGGGCTATTTTCATAGATAGTACATGGCATCAGACCAAATCAATATATAAAGACCAAAGATTGAGAGGTAAATAAGAAAAAAAATTTGGTTTTTATAATTTTTACATGCAAATCTTTTGTATCACTGTTAAAGAACTTACTGTTTTTATATAATTGACACAGAGCTACGTTGTGTGGTATTAAAATCAAGGGTTTCTCAATTCTGGCGTCATCAAAAGGACAGTCCCAGATGGTATTTAGCAACAATTGAATCAATTCATCAATTTCTAGTGGAATTACACACATGTGCTATTGGAATGGATGAGGACTATGAAGAGACTATAAAAAGATATCTAGATGTAAATGATATAAAAAATACACGTTATACGGATTATATACATCAATACTCTGGAATTAATAGCGAAGAACTAATGCAAAAATACAGTGGACAGTATGATAATCTTTTATACTTTTTTAAATACATGTTTGAACACATTCATTCCATATACAATCGTAATCAATTAAAGGCTTATAAGAGGCCACTCACATAACTACATTTTCTTACATTAAGTTTGTTTATATTTGATTAGGTTGTTGATAAATTTTTAATCATGCTTACATTATGTTTTTGCAAATTGTACTTCTAAATTATGGGATATATTATATATTCTTATAAAATTATATGGGAAAAAAATTGTTCAATGCAATTTTACCTTAAAGTCAGTTCTATTTTAGAATTATTTTCATAGTTTGAGATTTATAATATGCAAAAATATGTGATATATTTCTCAAATTTGAAAATGTTTTGCAATCTTTTGTTTTTGTATTTAAATATATCATAAATAATAGCAAAAAAATAAATAAAAGTGTATTATGGTTGTGCTAAGTACACTTTTATTCTTACAAAAAATGCTAAAAAGTTTTTTATATTGTATTATCTTTTACTGTCTGCAACGTAGTTGTATCTATAGATAAACACAAATTAGAAACCAAATCTAATGAAAATTTTTATTAAGATTTTCTATATAATTTTTCAAAATTTTTATATAAATTAATAAATTTAAAAAAAATTAATTTTTTAATAAGAATTAAAACATTTTTCAAGAAATGCTCAGAACATCTATATATATCTGTTCTAAAATTCTTTATATATGAAATCGAATTATGAAATCTAAGCATAATATCGAAGAAAATTTATAAAATCCGAAGTGATCTGAAGAAATTTAGATATTTCTTTAGAAATTTTCACATAAATTTAAAATATAATATAAAAATTTTATTTTAAATATGAGATGTGAAAATCTTTCTCACGCCAGAAAAGATCAAAAGATAATTATAAAACTATTATATGAATAATTTATAAAGTTAAACAAGAATACTGAAAGAAAGTTTTTAATTTTTAATTTTTCAAATTGTTCCCCATATTTTATGTGTCATGGCCTTTAACTAGCAAGTAGATCACAGTTAAAAATTTTCAAGGTACAAGATCATTTTTTAAGAGGATCCTAGATGCCCACATTTCAGTTGAACACATTCATATTAGTCGGTGTCTAGTAATTTTCTAGTGGAGCAGCAATATTTTAAAATATTTAGAATATTTTAAAACAGTCACATTTAGTGATGTGCCTAACTGGGACTCTCTCACTATTTCGAAAACTGTGATTGGTTAATTTGCTGAGTCTTATGCTCCTATCAGACTAATGCCTGCTGCACATTGGACGCGATGAGCGACAAGCGATATCCAATGAAAGCTCTGCTTTTTCTTACACGATGATGGAATCAAAGCTTTCATTAGATATCGCTCGTCGCGCGATATCTAAATATGCATTAATGGATGTGATGCATGTCTATGTTAATAAGAGCTGTCAGAATTTACCTGTAATCTGCTAGCCTCGGTTTTCCTTAATTTTTTATTATAAATCGGTATCATAGAATTGCTCTCCATTGAGACGATTGAGACACCATCACATCATCAATTTTGAAATACCCGTCACGCTTTTTCTCGTCGACATATTACATGTCATCGCGAATATAAAAATCATTCTCTATCATTGTATACTATTTAAATTTCAATTTAATAATTCGCTATAAATTTTGGTAATGATACTTTAATATTTTTAATAAAAGTAGAATACTTCAAATTAATTACCATAAAACTAATTGTTGCTTCAAATTGCTAAAATTTTGAAAAACTACCGTTTATTTACAATTAAAAAGTGAAAAAAATTAAAAATTTTACATGCATCGTACTTCCCAAAAAATCAATTAAGTCAGATAAGACGTTTCTTTAATTTTCCCAAAGAAAAAATCGTCGACAAAAGTTATCAATTTTCTTGAATTTTTTATCCATGTTTACTACACGTTTTTGCATTTCATTAGTCGACGCGTCATCCACGTACATTTTTTTTTTTTGATTGACTACAATTTTTAAAGGCTAGCAGAAAACGACAATGGAGAAATGACAATAGGATCAAAATGAGGATTATCAATGTATCGGCATGAGACGAACAAGAAGGAATATTGGAAGACAGAGAGAGAGAGAGAGAGAGAGAGAGAGAGAGAGAGAACCGTTATGCACCGTTATGCATGTATAGTTTACAGAACTGTCGTAAGCTGAAACCATAACCGATACATATTCTCAATGAAGTACTTGCATAGCTACATACAGTCGGGACTGTAACAAGGTCACGATCAGTATCATTCTGCTCTTCGTCGAGTAACATCGTTCAGATGTTCCGTCTCTTTATTTATCGATTGATCAGCAGATCCCATATTCGCGATCCCACCTGCTCGTATTCATTTCACTTCGATATTTCAATACAACGGAAGAATTATTTTTATATATTTTTCACAGCTCATCAAAAATTGTTGCTGGATGTGTTTAGAGTGTACTAAAACAATACATATATTTGCTTTTGTTAAATTTATAAACATATCGAAAACGTGCGACACGCGGATTGACTTTGGTAAAATCTAAATAAGATTCGAAAGAAGGTAGGTGGACAATTTATAAGGCAAATTTCTTTCTGTTTCTCTCTCTCTTTTTTATGATAATAGAAGTTCGGTGATTGAAAAATAGGGATTATTTAATATGATATATATTAGGTGTTGGAATTAATTCGTAGCGTTTTACAAGTGATGGGAAGTACTTTCATTAATGTATTTTTTAATGCTCATGTGAAATAAATAACATTCTTTCATTAAAAAACGCTACGAATTAATTCCAACACCTAATATATATCATATTAAATAATCCCTATTTTTCAATCACCGAACTTCTATTATCATAAAAAAGAGAGAGAGAAACAGAAAGAAATTTGCCTTATAAATTGTCCACCTACCTTCTTTCGAATCTTATTTAGATTTTACCAAAGTCAATCCGCGTGTCGCACGTTTTCGATATGTTTATAAATTTAACAAAAGCAAATATATGCATTG